CAAATAGCTTAGGGGTCTCTGGACTTTCCAGGAATTAACTCGCAAGGCTTGATCGCTTGAACGCAATTGTTGCCAATGAGTACACCAACCTCGAGGTCCTTATAGTACAGGGGAATCTTGTTCGCAATTGAACAAAGGTGCTTCCAGGCTTGCGCAGTTTCAGGTTGCAGAATTTGTTCCTTTCTGGCAGGAATTTGATCTCTGGTATATGATTTCGGAAGCTCAATGTTGACCAGCTTGTCATGGCAAGAAACAATAAGCCATTGATTTTCATAGTGTTATTTTCAACAGCGTGCATCGTTCCCAGTTGCAATGCCACTTCAGGGCCTGTAAGTCCGAGTTTCTCACAGGTGTCGTTTGTAATGAAGCAGGTGTCACAGTTGTTGGCATGACAAATGCTCATGCAACTGCTTGTTGCCTTGGTTGTTTCTTCTTCATTTGAGCCCTCTAGCTGTTCATCTTTCTTAGGCGTGACTGGTTCATAAAGGTGAAGGGCAGTTACATGGGGTTTCTTACAGATTCGACATCTCTTCTTCTGTTCGCATTGTCGTGTCATGTGTCCTCTGGCTAAGCACGCAAAGCACAGGCCCTTTGCTCCAGCGAATGCTTTCCTCTCTGTAACTGGTTTCTTTAAGAACTCTTGACAGTGCTCCAGTTCATGTGGCTTGAGACACAGGAAACACTTGTTTTTGTTTGGAGAAGATCGGTTTCCTGTGTTTTCATCGTTTCCGGCGCTAGTAGTGAAGGCTGTTCCAAAGCTAACATCGCTGTCTCTTTTCTTATCTGATGGGGGCCGTTTATGTTTGGTGTTGACTCCTTGCTGAATTTCCCTTGTTGTTGTGGCTAGGGCCTCGTGAGAAAAGACAGGATGAGTTGCATCAAACGCAGCTTCTTGGATGTAACTGACAAAGTTATGGAAGGTGTAGTCACCTTGCTTGCAGTCCATCGTCTTTGCATTATCTCTCCATTTATTAGTGTAATACGTCTGGAGACGAGCAGCTAATTCTCATATGAAGGAGAAGTTTTCAAACTCTTTAAGCTATTTGACTGTTTTCATAGTTTCTTCTGTCATCACTAAGAAGTTGCTGAAATCTTGCAGCTCAGTGGCTGCAGAACAAACAGGCCACCCCTTTAATTTTCTGCAATATACTTCGTATACCTTGAAAGGGTCGCCAAAGCGTTCCTTGAGGATCTTTCTTGCCCTGTGGTAGGCAGTCTCTGTCTGAAGGCCAAGTAAGCCACTGATCATAGTTTGAGCCCTTCTAGCCGTGTGTTCTCCCAGATAGTAAAGTTTGTGACTGGGCTTAACAGCATCCTCTTCGATTAGGGCATCAAAGGCACTTGACCGCTTCGGATTTTCCATGATCTTGCCACTAAAAACAGGCGCCTTTGAATGGCAAGCGTCATTTTCTTGAGGAGTTGAATCTGTCGACGCTGGAATTTGGTGTTTTTTTTTCTGGAGCAGTTGGGACTGGGAGAGAGTTACGTCTCATTTGTGACTGGAGAAAAAGTGGGAATGGGTGAATTCGCTTGCATCACCAGAAGGAAATGCTGGCCGCTCACCGAAACCCAGGGAGTTTTGGTCACGCTAGGCTTTTCCTTTTTATCAGAATTTTCATTTTCTTGCTCGTTATTGGATTTTTCTTCAACTCATTCCAGGACGCCTTGTCTTGCCTTAGGTGCGTCCAGCTCTCCTTGAATCCGTTCTTGCTCTTCTAAGCGTTCAAGCTCTCTCTGTTGACTTTTCAAAAGCTCTTGTTGCCGGTCAGGTTCTTGCTGTCTTTTGAGACTGTTTATCTTTGCCTGTAATGCTGTGGCTTCTGTGGCTGCACACATTGAAGATGACATCCATTGTGAATTCTTAGAAGTGCTTGTTCAGATGGAAGTATGCGATCGCTCCATCAATAATTCCATTCTCCCTTCTTCTAACATTTTAATATGTGCTTTGACATCTGTGACACATTCGACGAATGGATTAGATAGCAATGAAAAACAATCAAAGTTTCCAGTGTCATCTTCGTTCAATTCCAGCATAACATTATATACCGCTTCATGAAAGGATTTGAAGGAATCCATTTTCATCTGTAGACCTTCGAGGCCGGCCAAAAGAGCGATTATGTCACTTGATTGTCCTAACAATTCGTCTACGAATTCAGTCTGTTTCTTTAGAGCGTTTCCAGCTCTATCTCGTTTCTTTCGTGCATTATCTAGATCCATTTGAAGACCCTTTACAGATCGCGTGCGATTATGTTTATCTTTGAGATCTGACTCGCTTGCGTTTTGTTGTTCGCAAGAAGAGGACTTCTGTTTGATTTCAGTCATTTCATGGAATTCTTCAGAATTAATTACCGGTTCTATTTCACTAGTGGCTTCTGATACCATTGTTTTTCTTCATTTTCTTATGTTTTCACTTGCGTATGCAAGCTCCCACGTTGTCGACTGTAGGTGGCCAGACTCAAACTGTGCCACAAGTAAAATCTTGTCACAGAAACTTGTTCTTTAAAAACGCACACCACTATTCCACCAAGAAAAATGACCAAGTCTTTGTCACTATTTTGAATTTATTTCCTTGATTTAATAATGATGTGGTCGACTGAAATTACAATTACATAAGGCTAAATTACTAACAGCGGGTAAGTGGCTCTACACGAGAAAGACAAATGGAAAACAAACATAACTGAAACAGGCTGAAATTAAATGCTGATGAAATAGACTTACTCACCAAGGTTTCCGGGTTAAATCCTATCTTATGTCTTGACAAGTTCTTTAGCGATTTCTGATTCTTCGATCATGCACGTTAATGATCTCTTTCTATAGAGCTATTAACTGGTTCTTATAACAAAATATGTCCCACATGATATTCGGTAAATCACAGAATGAAACTTGATGATAGATACTTAGCTGCACCTATATTGCAGTGGTTACAGTGGCTTACTAC